TGTTGAGGACATAGTAACTCAAGCAATATTAAGCTTAATAGTCCTACTGAGCAAATTGAAGAATCCGTAAGAATCTAGTGCGTGTAACCACGTTCTTATAACTAAGTACTTGGCTACTTATGTGATGTAAGCAAGCAGAATGCTTATAGAATGCGGTCCGTCGACTTTCAGGATAATGCAAACGTTACCGTTAAGCTTCACGGGTTCGGACTACGACCATTGGGATTTTTACTCGAGCGGGGGGGGGAGCGGCAGGAGTTTCCTTGGTAGCGCACATTAGTTCTCATTTATATTTAAATGCCGACACAATTAATTTCTGTTAGGGTTAGGGTAAGGGTTAGGTTTATGGTTAGCGTAAGGGTTGTGGTTAGGGTAAGGGTTAGGTTGGGATAGTGATATCGCATGTAAAATGCCCCAATTTTCTGTCTTACGGGAAGCGTTGGAGTAGGCATTTAAATATAAATAAGAACATATGTGCGCTACCATGGAAACTCCTGCCGGATTTTGTTCATGGGGTTTGGTGTGAGAGTCTGGAGTAAGTAGTAGGTTTAATTACAAAAAATAGAGGTGAGGTTCATTTTAAAGTCTGACTATCTGCTAGCGCTTTGCTGCAAATTTTCAGCTTTCCGTTGGTGTATGTATTGATAAGACACACCGTTTTAAAATCACAGACTGCACAGTAAACTGAACTGGAGTATTTAAACAAACTTCTGATCTTTTAATGTATTTTCTCTATTTTCAACTTGTCATGTTTCTACTTGTTGCCCTTTTTCTCTCCCATAAACCCCTCGTTAGCACTATTCCTGTATTACAGGAGACCACCCATATGAGAAGCAATCTTCAATATATATTATACTCGTTAAAACCGATGGGGAAATTGATTTCACCGAGGGAATGAGTATGACCGGGGTGAGGGTAGTCAGAGTTGCCTGGTAAAATACGCAATGGAAAGGTCAGTAGGCAAGCGGGCATGCAGAGCGCGCAAGATTACATTCCGCGTCTATTTCAGAATCTGTCTACAACGGAATGTATAGTTCCGGAGGACGATCAGTGTTGCACGAATTCTCATGGAAAGGATTACCTATATAGCTGCCTGAACAGGACACCAGAACAGCAACCGCCCGAATACAGATGGCGTCGTGCCCAATTCTTGGAAGCTAGAGTTAGGTTCAGTGTACACAAGTGGCTAAGTAAAGTTTAGGTGTAAGACTATGGTTAAGTTTAGGGCTATGTTTAAGGTCAGTTTTAGGTATAGACTTAAGGTTAAGATTAAGGCTATGGTTTAGGGTAGTAGACTATTATAAGTAACTATTAATTTGGTTTGGCAGATTTGGTTAATTTAGTTGACCCAATTGTGA